CTCTAAGTGAAGGGGCTTTTTCCCATTTGGAGCCATGAGCTCTTTCTCTCTCGGCTCCCTCTCCCTTCTCTCTTAAAACAACAAGAACAATATTAATAAAAGAGGGATTTGAGCTATTTTCTTGTGTTCTTGCTTCTTATTCTTCTACATATATATACATTTAGTACATACAACCGACATCCGGGTGAATTAGTACTATCATTTATAAATGAAAATATGGCTGTTGGAGAAGTTACATGGAAGTTTTCTGCAGTTATAAAAACTTATCTTCCATAAAATATATCTTAAATGATATATTTATCATAAGAGAATATTAATTACATAAATCATGTTCAACATGAATATATACGTAATTATGAACATTTGTAAAGTTGTGAACCGCATGTAAATAACTGTGCAAATTATAATAATATATATATTATAATTTTTTAGCACACTTTTGCATATAAGTTTGGGAAAATTGGAAGCTCATGTGTTGTGCAATCATTTTTCAAATGAAACAAACAATTCCCCTGTATTGGGGAATAATCCCCCAATGTTGGGGAATAGACAAAGCCTTCCAACAAACTCATTCTCCAATTAACTTTCTACCAAACTAAAATAATATTTATAACTCCTCAACTCCAAATATTATTTTAAGCTTTTATGGTAGTCCATCTGAAATATTAATCTTCATTACTATATAAATTTCCAACAATTTAGATAATAGATATAGTTCAATCACTAATGTAGTTTATAAGGAGGTATTTAACAACCTGTAATTTATATTTCGTATTCTTATTTAATTTCTTTAACAATTATTACTTTTTAGTCTGCTTACATTTCAAAAAGAAATTATTTACAAAAAGATACACTCAAATGACAATTTCTTGATTATAATATATAAAGCATAAATTAAATAATATACAAATTATTTACCGTGCATCGCACGGGTAAGTTACTAGTTAACTCAATAAAATATCCTTCATAGACTTCTTCGACCTAAACTCCCCCTCCCCCAAGAAATTATATACTTACCAATAAGGTTGTTCTTCATTTGGCACCTTTGCTTTTAGATTTGAGATGAAGAATCGTCATTATATTTAATGGTTTTATTGGACCATGCCCATCATAAACTAGATAATTAGGGATATCTTAAATATATCATAGAATATAATAAAATAAACAATGGGAGACCAAGCTATTAGGAATAATTTGTAACAGATTTTGATGATACCAAATGTATTAAGAAATTAAAATCCCCTCTTTTTATTTTTAGACTTCAAAACTTTTCAAAAAATTGTTATATCATAGATTATGGCCCACTTTATATTGTGGACCTTGGCTTAAAATGTGTTTAAATTATGTACATGCAATTAACATATCATGTACATTTGATTAATTAATTATGTACCTATTACAATTCAAATATTATGTAACTACAGTTAATTAATTACTAACATACTACAATTAACGTATTATGTATTTTCAGTTTATTTACATATACAAACTAAAAGCATATAATAAGTTAACTATATGTACATAATTTGAATATCATTTTTGAATCAAGTCCACAATATAATGTGGACACCGGTCCATGGTATAATTTTGGAGGAAAACGTTGCGAACGAGATGACAATCAAATTCGTTCACGGAGGTAGCAGGCTGCGGGAGTACGACTCTCCGATCCGGTGGAATGGGGTTAGCCGGCTACAGTACGTGATGCAATGCCTCAGGGTTTTGATACGGTCATCATAGAATTGAAATAAACATCGAAGCGATCGTGAGATTCTGATCCAAGGTCTACGATATCGATAGCCATAGCTACGGATCAAAAACATATCGAAGAAGAGAAGCCTTGATGATGAGGCTCAATTGGTTAGAGTTTCGTGCGGATAACGTGTTATGATCGATTTTGGTGTATCCTTGTATCAATCTTGTGTAATCATACAATTATATATGCAAAATAATACAGAATAGAGGAGAGAGAAAGAGGAGAAGAAGAAGCAATTTAACGCTGGTAAAATGCCACGCACATTTCTTAATAAGTGAATATATATATATATATGTGTGTGTGTGTGTTACAAGCTCATCACCTGACGCAATGCAAATAAAATAAAATATATAATTACAAAAATAATTAAATATAAAACCTATAATAAGCTAAAATAAAAAAATATATTTGATAACAATTAGAATTAAAATGGTAAAATTTGTAAAGATCTATAGTAATTATAGATAACTTAAGAATTATGAGGGAACCACATTCCTTTCAAAATCGTATATGGAAGGTATGTTGCATTCATTGAAGAATATTATATTCTTTTGAAAAAATAAGATAACATGAACCAAGCATGAGAATATAACTTTGTAATGTCACATCCTCTTGATTATGTTTTATAACTTGAGCCAAAGACCCCTAAATGTCATCTCTCCATTTCAATTCCCACCGACAATACCAATCTATCATTCTTCAATTTCCCTCGGCCAATATAGATAGTAAAATCAACACCTTCAACAAAAAGAAAAGGAGGGCTAAAGCTTCGAGTTAACAAATTATTGACTTTAGATAGGTGACAGAACTTTCCATCTAACTCATGATGTTATTAATGAATGGTAATTTTTAAAATTATACTTTATTAAGTTTCATATCAGTGATTAGAAAATCTAAGGGTGTGTTTGATTTGAAAATGAGAATAAGAATTAGAATGGGTATCAAATACTTGGTAATGGTAATTTTTGGTGAATATATTTTGCATGTATGGTAGTAGGGTGGAATTGGAATGATTACCAATATTATTGTTTGGTTATGTATGATCTTATAATGGGGATACCGATTTTAAAAATACAAGAACAAAAAATCAAGACAATTTATTCTAATTTAAGGACATCTAATTATCCAAAGCACCAATATGAACAAAACCTATAATAGTGTTCTAGAAACCTGTCAACCAAACAATAACAATGACTTTGATTCATATTCCTGATAGCTAAACCCAAGGTCGGCCCTGACGGCGGGCGAGATGGGTACCCGCCCTACGCCCAACGTTGGGAGGGCCCCCAAGCTTGGTTTTTTATTTTTTTAATGAAGTAAAAAAAAAATTGCATATGCAAAGATTTGAATTCATGACTTCAAAATTGTTTATTAATTTTAAATATACTTAACAATTACAACCATGTAATATACTTATCTCAGTTAATAGATATATATTAGCAAACGTTGAATTAATTTATAATTAAACTTCATATATGGCCCAAAGTTTGAATGAGCACTACTTCAAGGCCAATCGTTATGCTGTGGAACCATGTCCACCTTGCAAGGTGGACACGGTTCTATGTTTGTAATTACTGAACTATATGTTCATAATTATAAAGCTATATATTCATAATTTTTGAACTTCATATTTATAATTTTTGAACTCTATATTCACAATTACAGGACTATGTTCATAATTACTGAACTATATGTTCATAATTATAAAGTTATATATTCATAATTTTTGAACTTCATATTCACAATTATTGAATCTCTATATTCATAATTACAGAACTATATGTTCATAATTATGTTCACAAATCTATGTTCATAATTATAGAACTATACGTTCATGATTTTTGAACTATATATTCATAATTATGAACAGTTATGGAACCGTGTCCACCTTATAAGGTGGACACGGTTCCATAGCATAATTTGGCACTCCAAGGTTAATCTAAAATGTTTTTTTTTTTAAATAAAAAAAATACGTATACAAAAATTCAAAATTATATTTAATTATTTGTAATTAACTCATACAATCATTTAATTTCATATATTAAGGGCCCTTGTTTTTATTTTACCCCGAATCTATAAAATGATAGGACCGACCCTGGTTAAACCTATAAACCAAACACACCCAAAATCTAAAAACATAATAACTCTCTATTTAAGTTATATTATCAATTTATGTATTTTTTGTATGCTAATAAATGTATACATTTTACTTTAAATATTATATACTTTAATTTTATAGACAAAATTGTCCCTATAACATTTTTATTAAACAAAATTATCCATATATAATGTTATAACTACACAAAATTGTCACATTTTTTTGAAGTATAACCACTTATAATATAAATCATATAAACTCCCTCCGACCCTACATTTTTTTGAAGTATAACCACTTATAATATAAATCATATAAACTCCCTCCGACCCTCCGAGTCTTCAGTAGACATATTCCATCCATCATAATATTGGAAATAATTTCCCGACAAAAGACTAGTTTTCAATCAGTCAAATGTATGCATGCACAGTTCAAACAATCACATGCTTCTTGCAAGCTGACTTTTTAATTGGAAAATTTTATTTTCAAAGTTGTAGGTACTATTTTTTTTTTTTTTTTTTTTTTTTACTATATTTGGATTGAGTTATAAAAAGAGTTTTGAGATGCTATAGTGTGAGTTATCCTACGTGAGATATATAATAATTTTTTTTTTAAATGTAATACGGAGTACTTCTTTATAAACTCAATAAAAATATTACATTTTAACTAAAAAAAAAAAAATTGCATAGTTCACGCATGGTGATTTTTGTAAGGAAGTAATATTATGAAAATATTAATTCAAAAAAATTAACACAAGAAAATAAAGGGTTATGGATTAAGTTCGAGTCGCACAATATTCACACTCTACTTACAACCTTAATTATTTGTTACCCGGTGCTAGGAACTCAAACAAATAAGCTAGACAACTGACAATTAGTTTAAAATTAGTTTTGTAACCTTCATCATAACAGAAACTTTAGGACCACCAATTAGATATGCTCATATTATGTACTCTGAGGCAGTGAGGTGCAATACACAAGAAAAAACAACCAACCAACTTAATGCAATGCTCATATTATGTACTCTGAGGTGCATACACAAATAGGCATACACGCATTGCACTGGTTCTACACCATCTGGTTCGCCAATCTCAAAATCTCTGCATCAATTTCTCCTAACCTCACACAAAAGCTTGTTTCGGAGATATTACAATTAGGTAAGGGGAACTAAACACATCGTGTAGGGAATCACCTTGTACTCGAAGATATCCTGCCCATATGCTGAATAAGGACAGAGGCGCTTCGCTTTCCTGCTGTCCAAATGGAATGAAAACATTTCACCCCATACTTTCAGCAACAGTGTCCTATTCTTCAGTGACAATGGGCTGATCCAAGGAAAACTCTTTCTTGTCAGTTTGGTTCCTAAGCACGGATTTGCTTTCTCAATGTCCTCCAAAGACATGGAGTACTCCAGGGACCAGTCTGATGAGAACAAGTCAATGAGCTCCCACACTTGAAGTTTTTCCTTGGTTATTCTCAAGAACTGCAGCTTCCCCTCTGATTCTCCCATGCATGTTCCATCCGAACCGAAGAAAAAAGGTTGCAAGAAAGGTTTCTCAATAATGAAACACTCCTCATTCTTGGGATTGAATCTCAGTATACCTTGGCCCTTAGTAGGCCAAAAAATTACACCCAAAATGATCACAAATCCCATGTTCAGCAAAAAATGACTATATCTGCAAATCGCAGTGGATGTTTTCCAATCTTTTGTTTGAGATGAATAGATGTGAAAAGAAAACACTACTTCTCTATCTGGAAATCGTCTATATATCTGGGTTTCACAAATTGTGACAAGCTGAAAATTGGTGGAAACGTCTGTATGGCTTTCGAATGGGTCAAACACAAGAACAGTGTCGCTCTCTAACTGTTGTGGCCTGCTGATATTGCTGGTACTAGGCACAGTTATAACCTCCCTAGTCAAGGGATTGCACACATATAGGATTTGTTTTGAACACATTGAGGAACTCCGACAACATACAAGTCCATGGCTGGAGGACGTTATGATCACGTCCTTTGGGAGAAAATTCAAAACTCCTTTCTTAACATCAGTCACTTCAGTGAAGTCAAAATCAATATTTATGTAGTTAATCAGAGCATTAAAATCACCCCAAAGTTCTCTGGAATCACAGCCATATTCTTGAAAGAAAAAACCTGAGAGTTTCTCTCCGGGCTTCAGTTGTTGTTTGACGAATGTGCGATCAGACACCATGCTCATCCACTCTTTTGAAACAAATCGCACCCGTGCCAAGCATTTAGAAGGTAACTTTGATAGTATTTCAGCCATGCATTCGGGAAGCAATTCCTTGGTTTCTTTCAATTCTGACAGTTCAAAAGATAATGGGAAATGGAAAATCAGACTATACAGAGAGAAAATGAGAAAAAGCAAAATCAGACTATCAGCATTCAAGAAACAGATAAAGAAAATGGGAATATGGAAAATTGGGACTATCAGCATTCAAGAAACAGATAAAGAAAATCAGACTATCAGCATTCAAGAAACAGATAAAGAAAATCAGACTATCAACATTCAAGAAACAGATAAAGAAAATCAGACTATCAACATTCAAGAAACAGATAAAGAAAATGGAAAATTGGGACTATCAGCATTCAAGAAACAGATAAAGAAAATCAGACTATCAACATTCAAGAAACAGATAAAGAAAATCAGACTATCAACATTCAAGAAACAGATAAAGAAAATGGAAAATTGGGACTATCAGCATTCAAGAAACAGAGTGAGAAAGAAAATGGAAAATGGAAAAGGCCAAACCTTCGGACTTTGATGAGGGTTCTCCGTCAGGTTGGAAGGCCAAACCTTCGGACTTTGAGGGCTCTCCGTCCATGCTTATGAGAAAGACAGACAGATTCGTTGGTGTTGAAGACAAGACTTGAAGAGAGAAACCACAGAAGACAGTATTCGTTGGTGATGAAGACAAGACTTGAAGAGAGAAACCAGAAAAGGGCAGTATTGTTTCTAATGCTACGCCAATAAGGCGGCAAATTATTGTTTTAGGGGTGGGCCATTTTCGGCTTTGACCCGTTTAAACCCGAAACGGGTTGAATTCATACTGAAACGGGTCCAACCCGAATTTGGGCTGCAGTGGTTTCTAAAATACGGTTCGGATTTCGGGTTCATTAATTTTTAATCGAATCCGACCCGAAACCCGAGCCACTGTATAGGTAATTTATATCCTGCACAACGGCACGCATTGTATTGTGCGTTCAGATGCAAAACGACGTCGTTTCAATTTTATTTTTTTTGAAAATTTTCGCACCAGTGTTTGGCAGTTAATTTTTCTTTTAAAAAAAATTCATGTTAAAAAATGTACATAATGTTATAATAGAATACACATAATTGTATACATGAATGTACATAATGTTATAATAGAATACACATAATTATATACATGAGTGTACATAATTATATAACAAAATACACATACTCTTTTTTTAAAAGACAATACACATAATCTAACATAATCCATAATAAACATAAACTTTTAACATAATACACATCAACTCTTAACATAATACACAATTTTTTTTCTTTTGAAATTTCCCGCCCCAGTGTTTGGCAGTTAATTTTTCTTTAAAAAAAAAAAAACTCATGTTAAAAAATATACATGATGTTATACTAGAATACACATAATTATATAAAAAAAATGTATATAATTGTATAAAAAATGTACATAATAAAAAATATACATAACCGTATAAACAAATATACATAATCATGTGAACTTCCTACCGTGCCTCCCAAAACGACGTCGTTTTGGGAGGCGCGGGGCGCACAGTGCACTGTACGCCGTGGTGCAGGATATAACGATTGACTATATAAACGAACTAGGGTTTCCAGAATATTCACACATCTCATTTCACTCTTAACCCTCAGGCCTCCCGCCTCAGCGAGTCTGCGCCTCTCACCCTCTTCCACTCTCCGCATCTCTCAATCTCTCATTCGACTTTCACCGGTCACCCTCTCTCAGTCTCTCACTCTCCGTCGTCTACCCCTCACTCAGTCACTCTCCCACTCTCACCGGCTCACCCCCTCGCTCATTGTAAGGCTGTAACAATGAAAGATTGAAGCAGTGAAGCTTCAGATCTCCACTCAAACTCTTAAAAGCCGCCAGTCTCCACTCTCGACTTAGACTGTTCAAGCCTTCAAGAGGTTCCGCTCTCCGGTGACTAGTAAGCTTCGCATCCTCTCTTTACTTCTTTAGTCACCATAAAAATCTAGATCTAAGATCTCATTCGATTTTCTGATCTTCTGATAAACGATTCTCTAATTTTAATTTTTTTGTACTTTGGAGTTTTTTCAGTGACTCAAAGTTCATAAACCCTAGGCCGTAAGGAGGTGAGCTCTCACTCAACTACTCAAGAACTAGACCGAAAGAAAGGTAACATTCATTCCTTTATTTGTGTGTTTATTTATTTATTCGCCATAAAAAATCTCTCAAGTTTGTCTAGATCTAAAGATTTCCTTCGATATTCTGATTTGCATAAAGCCATAACTCTAATAGGAAACCCTATTTTCTCCTCCCTGGCAGTCTGGGCGTCTTGCAGTTTTGATTGCTTACTCTTTTTTTTTTTTTTTGTTTTTTTTTTCTATATCAGAAAATTTGTTTGTGCCCAGAAATTTGTTTAATGTTTCTTTGAAAATTTTTAATATTCCTTTAGGGTCTTAAAATTATCATTATAGTTTGCCCAGAAAATTTGTTTTTTAGATAACCAAAGCTTCAAACTTCATTAAACCAAAGATTCAATACAAGAAGGAACAGAATCAATCTAAACATTAGGACCAGTAGACGAACTATTAGCTCTAGCCATGGCATGAGCCAACCGATTCACTGATCTAGGAATAAAAGTAATGGACACTACTTCAAAGTGTCGTTTAAGTGCCCAGAAAATTTGTTTATGTATGTTAGTATGTTATTTTATATTTTTATATTTTATTTTATGTCCTTTTTAGTGCCCAGAAACTATAGTGTTATACACTACTCAGAAAATTTGTTTATATTTGTTTGTGGCTTTGTACTTGCTTTATGAAGAAAGAGGTAAGTAAAATTAATTGTGAATTGTATGTGTATATAGTAGAGCCGTCAAAATGGGCTTAGCCCGCCGGGCTTTCCCTCCCCGCCCGCCAAAAGGTCGGGGTGGGCTCATGTTTTTTAAGCCCGTTTAAAAATGGGTTTTTTTTCCCGCCCCGCCAAGCCCGTGGACTGGCGGGCTAGCCCGCCAGCCCGCCTTTATTTTTTTTAATAGTTATATATATATATATATATATATATATATATATATATATATATATATGTATATATATATATATATATATATATATATATATATATATATATATATATATATATATGTATATATATAAAATTAATATGTATAATATAATAATATTAATAATAGTGTCAGTTATTCGGTGACCGCGGTTATTACACCTTCATAACTGATAAATAACCGAATAATCAAATTTTTTTTGCCTTATAACTGTTACCCGAAATTATCGATGGGTTCGGTTATCGGTTATCGGTTATCGATTTTTCGATAATTATACTTACCCCTATTGGTGTCATTGTTGTCATGTTGTGATGAACGAATTTATGTTATTTTCTTATGAATAAGTGTTTTAAGTAGATAGCAATTAAGTTATCAAACATGATATTAAAAAAAAAAAAAAAAAAAAAAAAACAGGCGGGCTTTGGCGGGGGCCCGCGGGCCTAATTGGGGGGGGGGGGGGGGGGGGGGGCGTGCTGCCCCTACCTAGGCCCGTATTCTTGGCGGGCTTTTTAGCCCGCCCCGCCAGCCAGCATTGACAGCTCTAGTATATCTACTACACTAATAAGAGCCCAAGAGAGTTAGGCCTATAATGGGTAGAAAAAATGGCGGTCACAGATTTTAATCAAATGAATGGCTTAGATTGATTAAAGATTGATCAGATTTGAATTTTACACTAAAATTTCCTAAAATACCCACACACCGTTACTAATTCCGTTAAAATTTTAAGAATTGCCGTTAGTTCACCGTTAACTTACTCATTGATTTCAATAAAAAAAAAAAGTCTTAGGTTCGAACCTCATCCCAATCAAAGTTGGCATAATTAGTACTCTATTTTACTCTTATTAAATTATATATATAAATAATAATTTAGTAGTTACAACAAAAAATAATACATATGCATTTCTTTAATTTAGAATTATGTGTCCACAATGTCTTTATTCAAAAAAAAATTATTCATTATCAATAAATTAAATAAGATAAATAATTTTATTAGTTATATTGTCTTTATTTTTTTCAATATAAAAATTCTTTATATTCAAATTTATTAATTGATTATATTCGCTACATTATCCTTACAATGTCTTTATTCAGTGAAAAACAAATTATTAATTATCAATAAATTAATTAAAAGAAATATTTTCATTAGTTATATTGTCTTTATTTTTCTCAAATGTAAAAATTTTTACATTCAAATTCATCAATTGATTATATTCACTACATTATCTATTATCTTTTTTGTGCACTATTTTTCTAATTAAATATCAAAGTTATAACATAAAATAATGCTATGTATTTATTTACCAAGTATTTTATTAATATCATGAAAAAATTTAAAAAATATAATTAATAAAGTCAACCATATTAACTACTTTGAGAGATTTTGTGACAAAGAGAGTATTCAAATCACACAACAAATTGAAGTGAGAACTACCTCGCAATGTCCTTGTTTAACAATCAGCAGTTAGCGGTTAGCGTTAGCGGATTATACTAGCGGATTTGACCAGCAAATTTATTTAATTATTAACATTGGGTAGAAAAAATGACCGCCAAATTATTAAATCAAATGAATGGTTCATATTATTTAGGTTTTAATTTTTTTTCTTTTAAGATTTTCTAATTTATCCTTAATTATATGATTATCCATTTAACTTTTCCGTTAATTCACCGTTAGTCTAATTCTAATATTAAAGTCTAATATAGAATTATAACTACACCATTAATCTAATTATAATATTAAAGTCTTAATAGAACTTAACCACAAATCCTAATGTCAGAATCTCCTCAAACAATATTAGAATATATTTAATATTTTATGCCCTAATTTTTATTTGTTCTCCCTTATGTCCCTATTTGGTTTCAACCATACCTATACAATTATTTTATTGACAATTATAATCAATATTGACTATATTATCTTGCATTTGTAAACTTAGAATTACCTATTTAACCCGCACGGGCTTAGCTCAATGATTTAGTGGGTAGTATTTGGGAGAAGAG